GCTGCGAAAACTGCATAAAATATAAACAAAGCGTTTAAGGACAATACTGTAAATGAAAGAACAATACAGCGTTGATTCGCGAAATTTCGTTTTGGATGTTTCTTTGGAAAATGAGCAGTGTAGTAAACCCGAAACAGTAGTTTACAAAGATGTCTTTAAAGCTTATTTATTCTAAACATTCTGAACCTTCAAAAAAACAATATATTCATTAAAAACATGTTTGGAGAAGTGCATCGAATCGGATAGAACGTATTTTCTTGAACAAACGTCTTTTAGAACCTCAAATAAGGCTTCCTCTTTTCCGCAAAATTCTATATTTCATATTACACGACTTAATAATAAAACTAATCTTTCCGTTGAATGTAAAATGTAACGTTCGTTCGTTTTTATTATTGGGAAATATCGTGGCCAGTTACATAGTGTTGAAATTAAGTGTTTCAATTTGAAATAGTAAGTAACCCTGTTTAAAGACTCAAGATTTTACCGTGTAAATTGAAAACTCTCCATGATTAAGGGCAACATTTTTACGTATGAAAGAAATTGAAACGCGATCGGAGGAAATCGTTTCATACGTTCCAGTGGATCGCGTATTTGTGACGAAGTGTCGGGAAGTTTATCTAGTGAACAATTGCTTGAGAAAATCTGAGAGTTCAGGCGCTAGAAACACGGACGAAATCATACACTTCGTTATGTTTAATTTGTTTCCTTTTTTGCGCCATCCTTTGTAGTGGCACGTTTCCAAATGTTCCGTCGGAGGAACGAAACGAGCGGCCTGACCTCGCCTGCTAATTGTTGAAACGTCGGGAAGTAGAAAGAGCTTTGTTCGTTCCCAAGTACGTTAACAGCACGAAAAAGTACGGAAAATCGTGCCGTTCGCGCAGGTAACCACGATTCCAGCTATCGCGGTAATAATTTCATTGAATTGCCGCCGTTAGCGAAGTTCAGCGGCCCTTTCGATTCTTCGCGGTTCAAGTGAATGAAGATTACCCTTTCCCCGAGATAGAATTTCGTTATCTATTTCAGTGACTTTAATCAAATATCAGTTAAATTTAATATCTCCTTCACTAACACAAATTGTCCGCGTAACCGTGAATTATTATTTATTTTCTTCTACTCAAGTACAGGATAAGTTAAATTGGCCCACTCCAAAATTTGTATTTTGCAAGTATTTCAATTATGAATGCATGTTTGCGAAAAATTTACAATTAAATTCGCATTTCTGCACAGATACAAGAAACGCACTGTTCTAATTTTTATGAAAAATTAAAAGTAAGTCACACTACTTGCTCGATAGTTTTGGTGTTAAATTAGATGTTTAAATAAACTCAAAGGTTAACTTATTCTTCATTGTAAGCAGAATACTCTGCCACTTGAAGTGTTAATGTGGGTGAGTATTTGACGCAGAGGTCGTGAAGTATATCGGAAACAGAAAATTTTTAAGAAAAACTGTATATCCCAAACTTACTTTCTGAAATATTTATATTTGGTAGATTGAGAATTGAAATATTTCACTTGATTATGTAAGATAAAATCTCAATCTACGATTCGACGGATGATAGTCGTGAATGAGTCGAAGTTTTCGTGTCGATTGGATTCTGTTCATTAATACGAAACTTGGATTGAAATTCTTGCACATTACGATCCGCACCTATATTTCGAACGATCTAATAACTTTCGTTCGTGAGTCATTTCCGAAGTATTAATTTAAAAGCAATCTAAGGATATCCTGAATCTATGAAATCTTCATATCAGTTAGATTTCGTTCTTCAATACGGAACAGGAAATGGAAATTTCATTCCAATCCGTACATAAATCTTTAACGATTTAATTATTTTCATTTCTGTACCTATAATCTCTGTAACATTAACGTAGGATCAATTCATAAAGGTAACCCACGAATTGCCATTGCATTATTCAAATACAGAGTTCGAAATCCCATGTTTCATCTAATAATTTCAATTTGCTTCAAAGATGCAGGTAAACGCGAAAACCATTTTGTTAAACGTGAAAAAAATTATTAACATTTCTCATAAAGAATTACATGTTCCAACAAACATTCGAATTTAAATCAGTATCGGCTCCGTATAAGAATGCATCCGTGCCAATTAGATTCTCCTTGTACAAACAAATCCTGAAATGAAATTTCTGTTTATTTCAATCCGCGTATGAATCTGGATCAATTTGATCATATCCGTTGGTAGACAATCGCCGCAGTATTAACGCAAGGATCGACTTAGCACAAGCTATCTGGAATACCGGAATTCCCGGGAAGAGCTTGTGAATTTCTCGCTCGGATGACCTCGGAATGTGGATTATTAATCTCGATAAATAATGCAGGAAACCGCTGCGCGAAACAGACGAAGGTGCGCACAATACGAACAAGGTCCATGAAATTGAAAGGAACAAACAAAAAAAAACAAGAACATAGAATGGCGAAACCAGACCTTGCTATCGAATACGTGCCGTATTCGCAGGGCTTCCGGCCACGGAATATCAAATCGCAGCTTTATTTTTTCGCGGCCGCCGTCGGCCACCTACGTTTCGCACTCTATTTAATTTCCACGCTGGCAGCAACTAAAAAATAGGTCATCCGGCACACGTCCGCCGATGTGTCCGCAGGTGCGCGAACGCGTTCATACGGATACACACGATGTTTTCCCTTGTTTTTAATCGCGGAAACGCGACAAGGAGGCGTCGCGCCGCGTCACGGCCAAGTTGTAACGGCCGCGCGCTCGTCTGGTGACGAGAAACCGACAAAATGGCGGCTGGGCGAATGCGCGCGGAGACAGAAAGAAAGAAAGAAGGAGGTGGGCAGCACACAGCCACGTTTTTATTATGTGTACGGTTACTTATTCCCCGCGGAGCGATATCGCGTTCCATTTCCATTCAATGAATTTCTTGTCGTGCTCGCTCGTCCCGTTGAGACAACGAGAAACGGCTGCGACCGACCGACCGCCCCGGCATTATAAAAAGTGACGCCGACGGCAGCAGCCCCGCGGACTGCCGCACCAGGGCATTTTGGGATTTTGTCAATTTCAGTTCTAATTTTCTTGTTCCTAGGGAAAAGCGCGAAGAAAGGTCGGGTTTAACGATTACACAATGGGGATCAGCCGATGGACCGTCTCTGTAATTGCTGTTAACCTCTTGCGCTGGAAATTAATTTCGAGATTCGGCAAAGTCTTGCATGAAGAATTTTGTTTCTACCTATTTCATGCGAATGTGTACACCAATTTTGTTTAACAACACGTTTCATAGAGTAACATGCACAAAATAGAGAACATATAATGTTAAATTAAATCATTTGATTGAATTGAATTATTATTATTGGACGTTCATTTAGTTAAATGTCTCGTATTAGGTAGCATTATTTATAACATAGAAATAGTTTCAAATAATCGTCGTTTAATTAAGTGAACTATAGTAATTCGATTTGATTGAGGGTCGCCGGTGACCCCTGTGGCATTCAACGTGATAATTATTTTGTATAAAGTGATACATTTCGAAACAATCTAGTATGTTTAATGCAACAAGACTATCGATCTGTATAAAGCGTCATTGATCATTTTCGAATAAAAACATCCCGATATGTGTGGCATGTCTTTCCAGCGTAAGAGGTTAACCAACACAATTCTTACATGCGTAAATTGAAACGTGATTGAAAGTCACGCGTTTGATTCTCGTTTTTTCGCCAGTTTGCTCAAATTTACAAAAAGGATTAAAAACAATTGCACTACATTTCAACTGATTCAAGTAAAAACTTTCGGTTGTGTTCATTGTCCGTTCGGGACTAATCCATTGTCTTTATTTTCATTGAGAAACCGTTGAACGAATTCATTTATTCACGCAAACGCAATCTTTAAAAACTCTTGCGATTCGCATGACAAACTGAAAATGAATCTACACAACTATTCGATAGTTCTACCGTTAATGTATGAAACGGGGAAGCTTGGTCCCGTCCTGGGTGGTATAATATTATCGTTTGTTTAGGAGGCATGCCAATGGTACAACAATTGGGATAGTATATTAGATGCGAATGCGTATGCGTTTACAGCCGGGAAAGCTTAAACGAGGGCGTAAATTTTGGTACCATGGGGAAAAGGAAACACATTCGAATCACAATTGGAAGACTTTATTGGGGAACAGGCAACTTTGCAAGGGATTTTAGTACACGAATACGATTCCGACGTATTTTACGGCTAAATCGTAGTTTTGATCTATCGACCACTTATTCACAAAATCCTCTAATGATTTGCTTGATAATAGAATTCACAACGGAGCGATAAATTTACAACTGAAAGATGAAGCTGATATCGATATATTCGAAGCTAAAAGTGTACGATTTACTGCAAGCACTCATTACGATTACGTATCAAGTATTTCTGAATTTCACGGAACTTATTTTATTTATATCCAATTTACGTTGAAGCATTATATTCATATCTTTCCATATTAAAACCGCAACGTTGCCCTTGATGCTCACGACCTCGGATATTGCGCGGAAAGTAATTATTAAATTGCTCGAAAGAGTGTGAAAATAATATGAAATGTTAAAGATGTCTAAGAGAGTTTTTTATATCTATAGATAGTATCATTTTCCGCAATCGATAAAACTAATTCAAGCGTGATATAATTTTATATAACATATTGTGTCTATATAATTCGGAATGTCTCTTTAAGTAATAGTTTTTAAATTTAATTACGTTATCTAATACATTAAATGTATAATGAAAGCATAATCATGTACTTTATGAAATAAACCAATCATTTTATGTCCATATACCTATAACCATATGCATTCTCCTTTAGCAAGTCATGAACTAATTAATTATCAGCTTCGTTTATAATCGTTACATCGTCTACTCCACACAACTTCAGCTATGAAAGTCGTAAACGTTACGAATGCACAAATTTCGCGCCCCATTTCATAAACAATCATATCGTAATTTCGTGAAACGAGGGGGCGAGGGTCAAATTAATTGAATGTAGTAACCGTTACTTACATCATATCCGGAGAATTGACCTTTTCCTGGCGGACCAGGAGGTCCTTGGGCACCTTTTTCCCCTTGTATACCGTCGCGACCCGGTTCTCCTTTTTGTCCTTGCGGACCTTCCGGTCCCTGTATTCCCACGTCTCCTTTGTCTCCTTTAATGCCAGCTGGTCCTTCGAGTCCTCTCTCTCCAGGCGGTCCTGCAGCTCCCTGTAGAAATTAGCGGGGTTTTCAGTTTGCACGCGCACACAGCAGCGGACAATAATACAAATCCACGTATGAAAAAGGAAACGAACAAACATTCTTGCAGTGTATTAACCCCTTAATCTATAATACCGTATCAGACTCGCGACGAACATTTTAAATTGAATTTGACAAATCTAACTATTAGTTTCTTCAAATATCAATTAAATGTTACATTATCAACTGTTGACCTTTTGAGTAAACGTAAACGTAGAATAAGCATCAAAACTGCTTCTTTTCCTAATCAATTATTGAAGATAATATTATTATCGATTATAGTTGAGGAATAAATCATAGAGCAAGGGGATAATGCAAATTCACAGTTGTTTCTTTACGAACGTGATGATTATCAAGTGATACAGAAGGCGAAGTCTGTAAAGCCTTTATAAAAAGTTCTATCGTGCCGTGTTTTACGGTCAGTCGCGTTTATATACCATGAACCCGTATAATCGTGCACAGTATTGTAGTGGTCACGATTATTTATCGATTACAGTTACAGTGAAAACAATCCTGGTGTAATGAACGTTTGTTGTGATTAAAGTAATGCTTATATTTTATTTTAACCAAGCGCTGAATCGTCGTGAATGCGAAATCCGTAAAGCTAGATTGAAATGTACGGAGGATCGGTGACATGAAGTTAGGTCGTTTATTAAATCCTTCATTGTACAGGCGTGAGGTTATGTTTCGTCGTATTTTCCTGGCTCTTTTACTGCGAAGCGGTTTGCTTTTACAAAGCGTCAATACCGTCAGCCCCATTTGCCCTTGCTTCCCTTCTTGACCAGACACTCCTGGCTCTCCTTTCGGTCCTTGGATCATTTTCGGCATCGTAAACGACGCCATTAGAGCTGTTGCGTTGCACGAGCATGTGCCGGGGTCTCCTTTCTTCCCCGGTGGACCCTGTGGAATTATCGGTAGCTCAGTGAAGTGATAAATACATGGTTTCCAGGGAAATCAATATCGGTGAATCAATTACTGAATGTATTTTAACACTGAAGCTACCAGACAGGTTAAAATGACCTATTCCCAATTCTTTTATAATCACTGAAAAGACACAACCGTTTGTTTATTACGAACTAAAATATAAGCCAATAAAAATCTCAATGAATGCAGTCTTATATCTTCGGAAGAATAAAAGTCAATTTGACTGCTCGATAGTTCTAGTATTAGGTATTGTTAATTATAAATACACACATATAGCCATTTAAATGTCGTTTGTGTTTATAGATTAAACAAATAATATTCAAGCTATAAATACGATGTTCTTAATAAATAATTATTGTTTATGAGTAACACGTATCTCTACCTGACTCTTTGACCAGATCAAATTTTATATTTTTCGTTGTGTAAGCACTTAATGTATGCGACAACTGAATTGTTTCTGTTTCGCAATGAATACAATGATTATTGTATTGTATGGATAGAAGATCTAGGAAGAAGTAACAACAAACATCGATAAGGTTCTTTAGATCTTTTTCCTTTAGATTTAGCTCCTCCTCCTTTGCCTTTATTACAAAGTACCCAGAATTTATAGCCTAGATTGATATAACCACTTTGATCGCAACTTTTAAAAGTAACTGAATAGTCGGTTATCTTGGTGAAAAAGAGGTCACGTTTGATGGAAATTTATGTGCACGAAGCTTTTTGTCAGTTTTCAGATCCTGGATGTACTACCACGTCATTTTTCATATATAGGGTGGGCGTGGCGAACATCACGCAAAAACTGGGGATGGAGTATCGCGAGTGAACAAAAAACAATTTATTTACGATTACGCGTGAGTATGAAATGAATGTTATGTAATGTAATTATTACATTGTATTGTCACGTATGGAATGAACGATTATTTTATTCAAATGAACTTTGTGCAAAATCAGTCATGTACTTTATTATTCTCTAATTTCATTGTTCCCTGCAGCTTCTCCAAACAATCAATCACGTAACGTAATTAAGCTTCAACTTCTCTATTGTAGTTAACGAAGAATTACTATTGACTGTGAATTGTTGTGTTCGGTCGGTTGTGCTCGCGCCAATAATTTCGGAAGATAGTGAATATCGTGAAAGCAAGTTCCTCTGTAATCAATGTTAAACCCATTGGCTACCGACACTTCAGCGTTCTGACTAAATTAGTTTGCTTGTGTAACAAGATAAATGAGTGATTCTGGATCAGAATGTATTCGAACTGGTTTCATATGCACAAACCCCGCGGAACTGTTATTGCTGAAATATTCCCTGTAATTTGCATTCGTTGTAATAGAAACGTTCTTAGAACTACATTTTCGTACGCGATTTAATTATACACGTTTTAAGTGCGTATCGTACTATTCGTTAATTATTATTCAAATCGAACTGTTTATCTTCAAAATTATTTCGAATGTTTACCATTTTTAAGATATCAATAATTGCGAAATAAGGAAACTGGAATCTATCATGTCATTCTTATAAAAATTTTAACAATAGATTTTTTGTTCGTTTTCTTCATATACTGATTACAGCATTGAAGGGAAACTATTTATTTTTCAAATAGTTTCGGATATTTAACGCTTATAAGATACCAATAATTGAGAAATAAGAAAGGAAACCCACCATTTTGTCGGGTGCAGTTATTTTAGTGTTAACTATAGTGAAACGACATATTCGAGTATTGATAACTTTCTTGCGATAAGTATCGTGAGAAAAGCAATTGAAATATTTATTACGTTCTTTTGCATTGATTTTTACGTGACGATATTCGATTATAGTACAAATGATCCGCATATTAAAATATCTTCTTTAATCGACGTTTATTTAAAATACTTTTTTTCGCGCGGAATGATAAGACTATTCTATCTACGAAAAAGGATTGTACATTTCTATTTAAAAAGATAATGCAATCGCAGTCCGCGCGTCTCATAGAATTTATTCTCCGTTTCTGAGCGGCTCGACTATGTCGTCGCACACATCTGGTGAATTGTTCATGACTTGGAGTCCTCGTTCAGCCCGAAACTTGTTCCTTCCCTCAAAATTTCAACTTTTCACGAGTGGATTTCACGAAATGCGAAACGAAGAAAATGTTGAAAGAATTTTTTACGTTCAAATAATCGAGGTATCTGTTAACGTACAGTACCAGTTCCTATTCATATAATAGTTTTACTGTAGAACCATACCAAGATTGTCCTTTATTTCATTAACCTTTTGAGTGCTCAATTGAATTATTCAATTTGGTGAAACTGAGGAATTATAAGTACGATTTAATTGCCACCTAAGTAATCGTATGGATTAACATAATTCATCGACCTTCAGATGAGCAAAAAAGTATTTCGTCCACACGTTTTGGCTGAGAGTACTCAACACTCAAAGGGTTAAAGGTGCTGAATGTTGGCATGTTAACCCTTCGCACTAGTATATCACGCTGGTGACGGCAATACAAATTTGTTATAGAACGTCAGAAGCTGTTTTGAAAAGTACCAAACTTTTACTTTTTATGATCATTTAAAGTGTGGTACTTTTATCTTATTATAATAATAATAAATAAAATAAATATAAAACGTTGAATTCTACCGCTGCAAATTATTTTCATTCATTTCTCTAAAAATAAATACAAGTTTACATGCAACAACGTTGAAAATAAATCGAGTGAAAAGGGTTAAACCTACGCGGTAACTCTAAATCAACTTGTATCGTATGTTTCACCGCACGTCTTCGCGCTACATTGAACTACTCTACGGTTATCATAACAAAGGACCGTAACTACGAAGGCACAGAATCCTCGAATCACGTGTAGCGACCTAAAATCTCGATGCTGTAATTACGATATTCAATTCACCCTTTGTCTTCAACAAAATCATTTCGGCGATAATTCTATAATTCGCGCTGCCCGTCGTTTGTTGGAACATCAGTCGCCGCCTGTGCTCGGGTTAATATCTATTCTTTTAAACCGAAACAATGTAGCGTTGCATAATCATAAGCCAAACCTGATACGAACCGTGCAGTCCCTGCAATATTCACAATGCATTCAATCTGCCTTTCTACGTGTGCAGACTATTGAGCCGGGGAAACTGGAGTTTCTATGGTCTGTACCGCGACTGCTAATGCCGGAACATTTGGGCAGTTTGATACATGTATCCGATAGGTTAGATACAATGATAAGAAATTTCGTATTCTCAGTGTTGCGAACCTTCTATTTTTACCAAATATTATAGTATTTGCAGATTAAACTTTGAGTTCTCTTTGTTAGATTTTCATTGTGGTAAGTGAAAATAAACAGTCTTTTTCTATGTAAAATATTAAGTATACAAAGAAATGATCTACTATTATATTTATGTCAAAGAGAAAGATATGTAGAATTTATATTATTAATAAGAACAGAGAATTATTTATCCCAGAAGATTACTCATATTATAATTTAAATCGATGTAAAAATTTCGATTCTTTATCTTCCAAAATGATTCTTTAATTTTCATTGTAGATATATAAAGAATGCGTGAAAGAAAGAGTATTAGAATAAATATTTACCTCATCCTGTCCTGGTGGACCGGGCGGTCCTGGAGGTCCTCTAACGCTCTCACCCTTGTCACCTTTGTCACCTTTATCACCTTTCAGCCCTTTGTCTGGGACGCGCAAAATAACATTCGATTAAAATCCATAAATATGAAGCAGGATAATATTGATTATCAAATCTCATTCATACGCTAATTGAATTTTAAATGTATGCATCTGCCGGGACATGCATTCCAAATCAATCGAAAAATAACTGTTTGACACGTGTAACGAAGATGGACAATATTAATAATTACATTTAATCTTCGTGCACCGTTCGGGTCAGATTAATGAATAAGTAAACAAAATAGGTTTATAATAACCGCGGACAGCGCGAATGTGTTTCAACGCTACTTTTACCATCCTATACATATTAAATCACTCAATCCAATAAATAAATTTTACAATCATCACAAAAAGAAAGTCGAAAAGTCAATCGAGGAAAGACGATGAAGCTGACAAAATAATTTCAAGTCAATATCGTCCGATAATGCAAAGAAAATAATTTCATGTTAATACCGTGTCTCGCGACACCTTCGCGGAAAGTAGCATTAATACCATCAAAGATATATTTTCATTCCGCTTTAATGCCGTTGTAATTTCATCTCGAAGCTGGAAGAAATTGATCGGGCTCCGGATATCTTCCGGGAATTCCGTCGGACTCGTTCCGAGCGGGCTCGTCCCGTAACGGCGTTTGAAATATTAAAGAAACGTAATCCGATTGTAATTTCGGTATTCACCGTCGAGGAATATCCGGGCGTTTCTTACCGGGACGCGGCGGAGTTATGATTAAATAAATTGACGAATTCCTTGCGATTACTCACAGTCCGGATTGGGAGGAGGGGGCGTGATGAATGGCGGTGGATTGCTTTCCTCGCTTCTGTCTTCGTCATCGTCTCGTCCGATCTGAAAACGGATGGTAAAAAGGAACGGTGAATAAGAACACCAAACGTGATTTATATGTCGTTATATCGCACGGGGAAAAAAAGGACGGGGCAAGGGAGGAAACGAACGGGGCATAGAAGTTTCATCGCTTATGGTTGTGATTGATTGCGCGCGTTGCGCCGCGCCGGTGCAATTTATTTATCTTCGGAGAGCCGGCGAAATCGTTCCATTTTCACGGATCCACCGTTTCATTCACGGTTAATATGCCGTATCATTGGAAAAACTGCTCGATATCGGGGATCCGCGGTACAAACGAGCTTACCGAACGTCGTTACGCCTTTTAATGGAACAACATTAACGAGCCGATGAAAATTACGGTTCAATATAGACGATTTTTCATTCGATTGTGGAATAGTTCTCGACGTAAATATATGAGAAACGAATTGAGCCCGTTTTTGCTTTTGGAAAGTGGTGTAAGTCCATTTTTTCATACGTTCAGATATTTAACACGTTAAGTACCACGAAGATTTTGAGCGCTTTTCCGTAGAGTTATTCGTTTGTAGTAAAGAGAAGCAGGAATTATTAATTATTTGCCATCACTATTCTTACATTATACTATTATCAGCTTATTTACGTTATTAAAATTTTCAATTAAAATGTCGGTGATCGTAAAATATTTTGAATCGAATAAATTTTGATCGAAATTTCTTGGTTAGTACGTTCATTAATATTTTGGACAAAGGGGTTGATTAATTTCCTTAACACGAAAACACGTGTAACAAGTGGCTATATACAATTTCATTAGAATGCACACAGAATGTTAGTGAACTCGGAGCATTTGAATGCGCAGGCACAGTATTACAATAAGTTGGGAATTAATTCTTCTTCATGGAACACCCGATGTCTCTCAAACTGACGCTCTAGCCAGCCCAATTATAACTTAACTCGGGCATTAAATGTTTCCCATGCAAATTATGACGCAGCAATGCACCGTTTTCAACTCATTTTAAGCAAAAATTATACGCATCGGTATCTATCTTAGCAAACTAATACGTGAACTTTATTTAACACTAGAGCATTTAACACCGAGCATTTAATACGATAGATATGCAATCCCTATGAAAATTGTAACAATAGATTATTTCCGTTTTCTTCAGACATTCATTATAGTATTCAAGTGAAACTATTTATTTTCCAGATCATTTCGAATATCCAATGCTTTGAAGATATCAATAATTTGCGAAATGAAAAGATCGGAACCAGTCTTTTTGACTGTAGTTCTAGTGTTAATATCTTAATGGAATGTCCACTCAAATTTATAACGATTACATACGCAAAAATTTCTTGCGATGAAATTTATGAACTGCAAATTGTTTTTTACACATTCCCGTAGAAAATTGTTACGAACCCCTTGTGAAGCTGGGAAACAATTTTTCATTTATTCATAAGAGCGGTGGGAAAAGATTTTGCCTGGAAATATTTGAATTTCTCGCGTTTCTGTATGATAAAGTGAAAACACAGTTTTATATGACAATATATTTAGTGCGTTTGTAACAAAGTCGGGGATGATGAAATTTTATTTTACGGAGTGTGTAGGCACACGTATTTGGATTTAAGGGTTATTAGGGAATTAAAAGCTGAACGATCGATTTTCACAGTTGACTTTTTTTTGCTGTATAAAAACGATATCATATGGATCGACAATGATTAATGAAGTTTCGGGTAAATCAAGCGGCACGTTTAGCACATATTCACTCTAAGTGCTTTCCGATAATAATTAGCAATGACGTAGACTTATCGGGTGAAAAACTGTCTTTGACAGTTATTTATTGTTCGTCCTCTGTTTTCTGAAAGGAAGAGATATTTTCTGTTATCGTTGATTCAGCGATGCACGTTAATTGCGCGTTAATTATCACAATTAATTTAGATGCAGTTTGTTAAGTTAATTAGTAAAAGTGTGTGAAATTCGTTGAACAGTAAGTATCGTTTTGTTACGTTTATGAAAAGAAAATATTCGATATTATATCTTACCGTGAAGTAGAAAGAAGATACATACATCTACTTAATTATAAGAACATGGAAAGAAAATGAATGCTGAAAGTACGATAGTATAATATTTCCGATATCATCTCATTCTTTATTTTTTTAATTGAATGAGGGAATTAAATTTCATTTTTCTTTCTCCCATATCATTTTAACAGTTTTGTTTCTCGCATTTCCCAGCTTTCTCTTTAATTCATGGCGCATAAAATGTCAGAATAATTTTTTGTGCTCATTTCTCTCGGAATTTCCTCGCTGTGAATGCGGGGACGTACAAACAAGAAAATAGTGTATACAAGTAACAGACTATAGTCCCACTGACGCATACAAAAATCCGCAGACTTGAAATATCCTTAAGAAATATTGCGATAACAGCTTAAACATCCCCTAACGCATGATTCTTGTAAAATAACGTTTTACAATATTCGAACATTAATATAGATTACTTCTTACTTTTTAATAAAAAATTTCTAAATTAAAAATTGGAAATTACATTCCCCAATGAAAAAAGAACAAATTGGCGTAGTTAGCAATTTTGGTCGTTGATAGAATTCGAAATCTACGAGTATTAAAAACAGAAATAATACAAAAAAAAATAAAACCGTTTTCATACTTTTAAATCAAGCAGACATGATTAAAAGGTATAATTATACCTGGTTTGTTTAATGTAAAAACTCCTGCAACGACGTTCAAAATGTATACGAAGAATGTTTCAATTACTGTACGTATGTAGTACGTATTTCGAAGCTGAATGGTCTCATCTTCCTGTTTTTATTTTCTGTAACGGACAAAATAATTAAAATGTTCAACGAGTGCGGGGAAATTTGTACAGGACAGAATAACTATTTCGAGTACAATGATTATTCGAACGCAAATCTAAATGATCCTGCAACGATATTCAACTCCGAAAGAATTTTCAGTTAGAATAGACCGTGGCGTATCGAACTGCCTTCTGTGAAATGAGAAACAATTTCCGATATAATAAATGTATTAGGTCTATTGTAGTTCCAGCTGTATTAGGCCCGGTAATGTCATTTCAAGTTTAAAAAGAAATGAGTCATTCAACAGACATGGAATTGACGAATTACCATCAGGCTGGGAAGTAGTTATTAACGGAGATCATATCCTTCAGTAAATATTAATAAACGTATCGAAAATGTATTATTTTATTTTAATTAGAAAACAGAGAATTTTCCGGCAAACATAATATTTTGAAACTACATAAACTGGTCTTCCTGTTTTCATTTTCTGTGACGGAGAAAATAATTGAAACGTTCGACGACAGCGAGACATTTTGTACTGGTCGAAGTAACTATTTCGAGTAGAATGGTTAATCGAACGCAAGTGTAGGGGACAGGGTCTCGATGCACAAAGACACGTGCGTCTCGGTAGCTGCAACACAACGTGAAACCAGCGACCGATCGCAATAACACGTAGCACCGGGACGACAAGTACCTACAACCGTGGTCTGTTGAGTCGGGGGAGTACGTTCACCTGATACCGCGTACTGACACACCTTTGCATCCCATTGTACATACATCTTGAGAGATTTTCTCCGGGGCAGGATTTTACGGGTGAAATAAATTGCTCGGCTTTCCCTCTCCGAGTTAGCGAGACTAATACAAACGAGTTTTACAGACGGCTCGACTGGGCCCGAGGAATCGGCCTCGGAAATTCTAAGAAAACGTACAGCGAAACCGTGCACTGCTTGAAACCCGATTATCCGAACCCGTTATTATCGGAATGTTGTTAAATCGCGGTCGTAGCAAAAAGTCTCTTCTTTTTTTGTTGTGAGCATCAAAAAAATTAATAAAATCGATATTAGAATGTAGGAATATGAAATTGATTTTTGATATTTTGATACTGATACTTCGATTTGGCAATTCCAGTGAATAATATCAAATTGATTTTTGATATTCTGATGTCGATACTTCGATTTGGCAATTCCAAGTTAATAATATAAAATTGATTTTTGATATTTTGACATTGATATTTCTGTTTAGAAATATCAATTTTAGAATCAATTCCACAACAATTTCTATTTGATTTATCGAGGTTGAGTACAGTGAATAATGCTATAAGTCATTCTTTCAAGGAAAGCGTATTATAAAAGCGGTCCGTTCGTCTTTACGTGCTTGGCCTGACTTATGTGCGATTATTCTACTGGGAACCTGTATTTCTCAATGCGCTGTAAGAAGATATATTCTCGTTGTAACTTTTCCATAAATATCCAAACCGCGAAACATTGTATTTTACGCGTATGGTAATATTATATCTCTTCGAAAAAGCAATACTCCCATTATAACCTCGAGAAACGTTCATATTTACAAAAATCGTAACTTACAAGATCCTCAGTCTATTCCATAAGTCTTTCCACCACCAATTCTCATCCAATATAGTTTCTCAATATTCAACGTCAACTTCAACTACAAAAAACCTCAAACATCCATCCTCAATCTTCCAAACTTCATCTCCGAATCCCATTTCCACGTGAAACGCCGTTTCATGCCCGAATCAATCCCTAAGCACCGTACGTCCGGCAAGAAAGGAATTTTTGAGTTTCCCACGAGGACCGGCGTAAAATTTCAATGTCTGACCTAAATTACACCGATTCCCGCCACCTAACTATCTAACACGTTTCCCTGATGTTTGACAAACGACCGATTTCTTATCCGGCGAGCGTGCCCCGAGCACGGTTATCGCCGCCGGGAGTAATGGCGACGGGCCGGCGAAGTTCCGCGGTCAATCCCAACGCCGGGGAGCGTTCAAGAATTCCGCGCTGACTGTAGCCTGGCCGGGACAAATCAAAAGTCACCTCCAGTCGGCAGGTCGAACTTCGGCGAAACTAGATCAGCTGGTTTAATTGCCGGCGCGCGAGCGGTTACGCGGCAAGAACCGAACTTCCTTCCCCATATCGATCCCCGAAACCGTCTTCCCCTTTTTCTTCGGCAATTTCTGATCCCTCGCATACTTCATCCTTTATGTCTGACTGTCTTCCGAAGTATATAGCGCGGCGTGCATTCCCTGGCGAATCAAATCGCGCCGCGTCGTCCGCAGAATCCGCAGTTCAAGATCCAGGACCGTGATCCAAAGGAAACATCCTTTGAGGCGACAGCGTTTTGACGAGGCCGCCTTCGAATCGATTCAGACCACTGACAATTTGTGTCCCGCTGATCCCGTTAGACGCGGGTAATCTAATTACGTCCCGGATTGACGAGATCGCGGGACTCCCGAACTTGACGCTCCGTTTTCGGGGACTTGTAATCGATTTTCACGGAAACGGGACACTTGTTCGATCATAGTTTGCTTTCAATTTGTTACGATTCGATCAATGCCGTGCTGGGTGGACACGCTTGTTCGAACGGATCGGATCGGATCGGTTTCGTGTTTATTGAGATTATGATACCTTTTAGATCGTTAGGGATTATTGGTTCGGATCGCTCGCGTGAAATACTTTTGGATTTGGTAATTATTCGGAGATTTTCTGGATGAGTCTTGAGATTTACGCTAACTTTTTTCCTTATCTGATCTTAATTTTTTCGAACTGAATTTAGCAGCATGGAATAAAATGTAATTTTGTTTCCTGAAATGTTATTATTAATAATTCTTTTAATAAATACATATATCTAAAACTTATACCAGCTTTTCTTTCCAATATTTTGGTTCTTCTTGTATCCGCGGACTCTATTTACGCGATTTTCATTCGCGTGAAGTGAATCCACGTTGACGGGTTTCCACGTAAATCGAGGGTTAAATGTATTTTAATTATCTATTTATGCTGGAAATCAGATTTAGAGTTTGGTGATTGTACAATTTGGAATGATTTGATGACATTAAGAAGAATAGAGGTTTCATATTACAAGCTATATTCCTTTTCGAATCTGTTCTTTTTATCTTTTACCCACAACGAACAGAAGGTGAACGTTGGACTGTAATAAACTTTAACCCCTTGTCCTGCAATATCATGTCAGACACGTGGTGAAGATTTCAAACAGAATGTAACAAGCATAAACATAACTCAAGTCTTTTGAAACCAAATTAAATATCACTTTTCTGTTATCACTTATTACACTTTGGGGTAAAAACAGACATAGAATATGCCTAGAATTGTTCTCTTCTCCCAATAAATGATTAATGAATGAGTAGTTGTATCGATCATGGTTATGATGTAGGTCATAAGGCAAGGAATTAATGTCACACATTTTACGGGTCCCAACAGAAATGAAATATAATCCTATTTCATCGTTTCAAGGCGTGCAGAATCCTTTACAGTGACAATTTCAATTTGTTATCGTGAACTGATTTCAATCTCAGCCCGAGTTCACCAAAAACTTCTCGGATGTTTTAATTTTATGTTAAATTCGATCGTCAGAAGATTTAATGGATCGACCGAGTTTGAGGGACGGATGGGTCCTGCAACGGCGGCCCTCTAAACTTCGTTTGGATTAAGATGAGCCCCGAATGGCGCCAGAAATACTAGAAGCTCCCTGGTCCCGAAATGAAGCGTTTTAGACGCCAACGCATGATCCTCGTCCGAATTCCCTAGATTATTCCTGCGAGTAGTTAGGACGTGAACCCCATAAAGTGATTTTCACGTTCTTCATCGGATGTTAGACAGCTTTCCGGAGAAACCCTCGCAGAATATCGAATCATCTTAAAACTTCGAAGAGTCGCAATTAAAACGCTTTACGCGGCTCAATTTTTACGAATGAAAATAATAAATCCGGAAAGTGGAATTTCAACTCGGTCTGCGCGTTTGTTTTCTCGGATTTAACCCCTTCACCTATAATATCGTGTCAGACTTATGGCGAACATTTCAAACTGAATTTGAGGAATCTAAGTGTTATTTACATTTTTTAAATAGAAATTAAATGTTGTTTTTGTACTTTTAATCATTCACTTTTGAAGTGAACGTAGACATAGAATAAGCATAAAAATTGTATATTTTTCGGATAAATTGTTAAGGATAGAGTAGCTGCATCTATCATAGCTAAGAAATAAATCATAGGGCAAGGGGTTAAAGCTGTCAATTTTTGCCATTCGTTACAGGTATTATTTAAACTGCGATAAATAATAAGATCTGTTAGATCGATCGTTAATTCTACGTTTTGTCAGGAGAGTTATCATACTATATTAAATCCTTCGATGATTCTTATTATTTTCGCACCATGAACGTTAATCATTTTATTCATAATTTTCGTTTAATTTCATGTACTTACACTTCATTCATCTTTTCACTCTTTCGTTATGAGTTTTGTAGGATCATTCTTTTCTTCTTTATCGTAACGTAACCTTTATTTTACGGATGAATTCTTGAAATTTGTGTAATTCGTTGTTTCGTTTCATACTGTACCTTGCCTTCGGTTAGAGCTTTCGCAGCAACGTTTTTCTTCTATACGAAAAATCGACCGTCGAACTAAATGAATATTACTGTTAATGTTATTATTAGGCACAAACACAGAGCAGTTTTATTCGCGAAGCGGTTAAACGTCGTCGTCGTAGAATGTTAAGCGACGCGCCGTGATATAAAGCGTCCTCGAAGATAAGCTAATTCAATTAAACGTTTCGACAAAGCGGCAGCTATTATCGCGAATTAAACGATCAAGCCCCGGTTAAAGCGGATGCATTATCTCTTCGCAAATAGAAAACTTGATTATGCGGGGTTACGTTTGAAGATCTAAATACCGCATCGGTTCATTAACCTTTTGAATCATGTCATCACGTCGGGTCCGTGACGGGAATTTTCAACTAAGTCTGACAAATCTAAATGTCACTCTTCTCGAACATAAAAATGACTGATATTCGTCAGATAAATTATATTAGGTCACTCCACGAGTAATGGATTTATACCTCTATTAATCTCATTTTTAGAAATGAAGAGAAAAACTTTTTTTAAATCTACAATATATTCTCATTCATTATCTATATATTATTCATATGTACACTACAATTAAATTTAAAACAGTTTTGTTCATTTTTATTCCTAAAAATGAAAGAAATATAGAAAAACCACATTACTGGCAGGATGACCTGATATTTATAACAAAGAAACTTCCGAGTGCAAAAGATTAAGTCTTCGTTGCGGTTTCCTCCGTTCCCGAGGTTTCCCGGGGACCGAAAAATAATTCCGTCGTTAACGAAAAGTAGTTTTTTCAAATCGGCTTTCTGCGAGCCAACGACGTGCCCCCTGTGTCTCGTTTGCGGAACGCGCCGGGCAAGCTTCCCATTAATCCAATCGTGTTAGTCGCTGCGACCGCTTACATGAAAACAAACAATTAGTAAGCGGTGCTGTCAATTTCTCGCGAATTTCATTCTTACAACTCACGTCTATCTTATTAAGGTCAATATCCCCCGAACCGTCCGTCCATTCGGGAATAATATCGCCTGAGCCAGTCTCCTCCTCCGCATCGAACTACAAAAGAAATGTTCGTTAGCGATTTTCGGCCATTTTCACCGATCTTCGAAGCGGTGGGACGGGATTGTTTGTTACCGGTTCACTCGGCAGTACAATAAATTAATTTATTCTTACTGGAAATTGCTTTCAAGTCATTGGTTAGACATTTTTCAACTAACTGTCGCGTTACAGCGAAGTAAAGTCTTATAATTTCAGTGATACCGCTCAGACTTTAATACTCGGGCTTTAACTCGGTTATTAAAAGATTATCGCTGGACCGCGATCGTTCGTGCAATGTTGCGCAATGGAAGCTATTGTTAAATGATAATCTTGTTTGTAAAGAGTTCTCATGTATGCGACGGAGAAGTAGCGAAGATAATTTTGTGAATCTATTTCCAGCAGATTTCGTATGATCAAGATGATAGGTTTGTTTCATAATAAAAATTTCACACTTAGTTTCATGGTAACCAGGTGTTAATTGGATCTTTTGTAAGGCATCAAGTGTACTTTTAAATTAGAAATGTATCGATGTCGTTTCGAGGGAGAACTTTAAAACATTTTGTTAAATATTGTAACTTGGATTTCTGATGGAACTTCGTTAAAATATTATTTTACATGCGTAATTTGAAAATTTAAAAAGTTTTAGTGAATTCACAAAAAGTACCTTGCATTATCATATTAATCTAGACGCGTATTTTTGAAAAATATTTATCGACGCGTGTTTACAATATTTCATGTTTCCCATAAGCGAACTAAAAGATTGAATAAGCATCTTGAAACTAAATAGCATTAATGGCGCAGTATTCTAATGAATATGTATACACGTCACGGGCACAATATGTTTCATCAACGATATTAAAAGGCGTACTTAATTATTCCTGATATCCTAGTATACAGAGACCATTATGTTCTCTGTACATGAAACATAATACGACAAATTTACATAACGCAAAACACAGGAGTCAAGGTACACAGCAGCAGTGAATTAAACGGGTGTAAACGTTGGCGTGGAACGTAGTCGAATAAACTGATCAACCTCTATAACAGAAAATCAGCTTGCATACTGTTATTACCATTTAAGCGATAATAACATCTGCGTCTTTGTCACAACTTCTGTTTCATTCGCAGTCTTCTTATTTCCTTTATTAAGCCTTTGCGAATGGGAATGTTTTAAACATTTAAATAGCTTATTAATAACACAGCTGAGTTACACATTGAAACTCTAAATATTAGAAAAAGAAAACTATACATCAATTTCTCGGTAATTGAATGATTTAATTATTCATTTGCAACTTTTGAAATTTCTCGATGAAAACTCGAAGAGTGCACCTGTTGAGACTTTAATTGGTTTACCTATTTTGACCCATCTGGTAGCTTTAGTGTTCGAAGGCTCTATTATGACGGCATTCAACAACAAAGGGTTAATATCTTTATACGCCTGAGCTATTCAAATTCTCTCATCCTAAATTTTCTCGTTCTTAACTCTTTACGTATAAAATTAAACAAAGTGTAATCTTAATTGTCAGAAATATGTTGGTAGCGAACGTGCTAAACAATAACAGCTAGAATATATCAATGAAATATGTAATTAGCGTACATTACATGCTCGCAAATCGTTCGTTGAAGAATGAAAAAAATTCTGTCCAAGATTACACGAGAGTTAACGAACCGTGTTAGAGTTGTTTAATCGAATTTAATTACCGTCGTCGAAGAAGACATTTGAAGAAAAACCAGCGGACCGAGCAAGGCAACCGATTGAAATTAGAAAACAATCTGATTAAGCATGCCACGCGCGTGTACGTATATATAATGCATTTTACATAACATTAACGGCACCGCTGTCATCGAAGTACATGCACGCGCATGCACACCCCGCGTACAGAGGAGCCGAGCGAGCTTAATTAATCTCATTTTAGCGATTTCAGATCTGGCATGAGCCCTTTTCAATTATTCAAATACCGAAGATCCAGCATTAATTCAGCGTGCGCCGCGCGTCGACAGCTTTAACACTGAAACAACCGATCGTTTAACAGTATTAACATGTAACCATTATAAAAATTGTGACAACAGATTTTTTTTGGGTTCCCTTGAATATTGATTATATAATATTGAAGTGAAATTATTCATTTTTCAAGTCATTTCGAATATTTAACCAATTTAAGATACGAACAGTTACGAAATGAAAAAACTGAGACCTGCCATTTTGTCGGATACAGCTGTTCCAGTGCAAATATAAACCAAAATGAATTGAGTATATTAATGAAATCATACATTTTCTGCTGCTAGCGAATGCGTTAAAATTAGATTTGTCATTGTGATGAAAGCATAAGTGATACTGCAAAGAACGCTCAAAATTCTCCTAGCAGTAAACGTGTTGATAGTTACTTTACGGAACCTTGACTTGGCTCATCGATCTGACGGATACTCGGTTTCATGAGCGTAGTTTAGTGAAAGTTTATGTCGACTTTGATTGACGCGAATACGTGTCCTAATAATCCACCGTAAAAGCTGTAATTTTCAAGATTTGTATGAATGAACGCCTAGTTTTCTAGAAACAATATAATGAAATTGTGTATTAATGTTGACATTTGTATATTAAACGACTGCCAATCGAGTTCTATTGAAAATTCAATTTCTGGATGGAAAATTAAATTGTTATCGTGCGAATGTGACTGTTAATTGATAAATCTACTGATCTTGGCAACTATTCACCATCAATACTATGTTTGTTTTCACTAGCAATGCTTTGTAACTTTACAATCAAAGTATAGAGAATCTTGTAATGTCGTTCTGATTTCCTTCGCCTTAAACCAGCGTTATTTTAATAGGTCATCGATTCTTAAGCATTCGAAATACAAAAGCCTTGCGGTAGGTAAAGTATAAAGCGGCAGTTCGTTCAGTCTCGCGAATCGAAACTCATTAATACGTCGCGCGAGAATTTGATTATTCAAAAAGCTTTTGTTCCATGCATATTTATCGGCCGGGATACTCCACTTCGATTACACTAAGGAACAAATTTTGACCTATGTTAGTTTTTGCAATAGCCACTATGTAATTCTTATAGAGTTCCTTACCCTAAATACGAATCCGGAAACCAAATTGCTGGGTCAGGTCCAGTTTTCGAAAAAACTGGCATTTTGTAAAAACGGTCGAATTTTTCAGAAAACCAAGTGTTACGTGAAAACTAAAAACGATAGGCAGTTAAAATTTATCGCAAAAAATAAAGGAGACTTGTCCGATCACGTAGCTATACAAATTTTGAATTTTGAGTATCATTAAATGTTTGTAAACGGTGATCAGAGTTTAAAAAAAGGTAGATGCGCGTACTTTGTATGCACTTCTGTTACATTTCTACGAAAAGTGGGTTGGCCAGCACGAATTTGCGGTGCACCATTGGATTCTGCAGACATTTCTGAAGAGGAACCCTCCCGTGAGAAACGTGACATCGGTTTTTCTTTGGGACAGGGTAAGAAAATGTCCGCGAACGGAACTTTCGCGCCACACGGCCATCGCTCGCCGGCCACAGCTATGCAGAGCCGTGACTACGCGCTGTATAGACCTGGACTCTGGTCACTTCTTATATGTATATATGGACCGTTTATTTTGAAAGTGGTGTAAGCCCATTTTTGAAAAAAATTAGATATTACGTAATTCATGCTTAATTTAATGTAAATTTTTTATGTATAACTAGTTCGTGTTTAATTTCTTAAAAAATTCCCATGTTTTGTACAATTTAAAATTGGTCGGTAAATGAAATTGCATAATCGTCAATTATGAATGTGGTGTAAGTCCAATTGACAGATGTAGGCGGCTTAGCAGATTATTATAATTATTATGATGTAATAATACGATGTAGAAAACATGATAAATTCATTTTACATGAAACGAAACGAGAGAATTACGTTTCAATAATAAATCTTCAAAATGCGATTAAAAAACAGATAAGAAAAAACACTAATGGAGAACAGGTAATTTCTGAAAAATTCGACCGTTTTCACAAAATCCCTGTTTTTTCGAAAACTGAACCTGACCCAGCAATTTGGTTTTCGGATTCGTATTTAGGGTTGGGAACTCTATAAGAATTACATAGTGGCTATTGCAAAAACTAACATAGGTCAAAATTTGTTCCACGGTGTTACTTTCCGTGCTTCTTTCTCGCGGCGAGCTCTTGTTCTTCGACTGGGAAAAATGACGTTCACCGGGTCGACTGGACAAAAGATGTTTCTCCGATCCGAGGGGACTCGGATGTAGTATTTCAGAATGAATGTATTCAAGGAATTCTCTCTTTCCTCCCGATGCGACGCCAGCGTTCGTTGCTCGCATGAATTTCAAATGCGGCGTCGAACTCCGCGTTTCGAAAATCCGATTTTTAACGCTAAGTGTACCTGCACTTTATATATAGGGTAGACCGAGGCGAATCGGATGCAAATAACAATATTGACCATATTTGTTACGTTGTTATAGAAATGAGCATGTTGACCGTTCATATTGCTTCATGCATCTCAGTGGAGACAGAAACAAAAAGAAACATAGAATTTGAGAAACTGATTAATAGGACAATATAAGGATTGATACAAAATTAAACGAGTAACAGGAAATGCAGAATGTAAAATTAAATTTTAAAACCGGTCATTCGACCGGTCACGGTGCGTTTAGTATTAAGTTTCCATCGATTTGCTCTGTAACGATCCTGCGAATCATGACTGCAATATAGTTTAATCGCCGTGGCGTGATTACGAATATTATTCGACGAAGTGTACGGAAATTTCGAGAGAATCGTGAAAGTGAATTCATCGGAGGGTCGAATTTGAATATCGCTTTGTGACGTAGACAGATGGATGTTAATTTGAAAGTTATTTCCTATTTTCAGTAGTATTGTCGTGTAATCAAGAGATCGAAGGACTTTTTTTTCTTTCTCAGGTTATTCAGTTGTTTCTCAAAGGATTCAGTAGTTCTCATTCTAATTTACATTTTATTGTATAATATTTTATGTATTGCTTAATTTTGCAGATGAATAA